ACCTGCTCCAAAGGCACACGTGAGAGAGCAGGTACAGGATCACACCAACCAAGTTAAGAGCGAGGTTCACTTACCTCATGATTCAATACAGTGGGAGACAGTCATTTTATAAATTAAAGAGCTCTAGATTGAGATAATTCATCAGAGATTAGCTGAGGCTCTTCCTTGAAGGGCTCATTGAAATGGATGTGATGCCCATTGTTGTGTGAGGTGCTGTTTCAAACTTTGAACAACAAGATAAAAGCTGTGACTGGGAGAAAGAACTGCTGTCATTGCTGGATTTAATAAATCTGCTGCAGGGACAATAAGCCTGAGATAAACCCAGACAAAGCCTCTTGCCTGGGAGTTCTTTTGGCAGGTGGGAAGGAAGGACGTTCTGTCATTGTGGTTTGGGACTGTGCACGTCTCCGGGCTGCTGGAACCTTTCTGGGGTCAGGGCTTTGGCATTTCCTGGGCTGGGGGAAAGGACCCTGGGTGTGCCCGGTGTCACCCTCTGGCACCAGTCACATGCTCAGCACCAAAAAACTGCAGGAAAAAGTAAAGCTGAGATCATTCCTAAGGAAAAAAAAAGAAAGAAAAAAAAAGGGAAAAAAAAAAAAAGGAAAGAAAAAAGACAGAGTATTCTTCTGGGGTGGTGTAACATAACAGAATTTGCTGAAAAGAAAATTTGTTGGAAATAAATATGTGGGTTGTTGGAGAAAGGCCTCCAGGATCATCAAGTCCAACTTTCAAGCACCATGTCCATCAGCCAAATTGCAAAATGCCACATCTCATTTGTGGAACTCTCCCAGGGATGGGGATCCCATCACTTCCCTGTTCCAGTGATTGGCCAATTTTCAGAGAATAAATTTTTATTAATACAAAATAATCGTTAAAACTAAATACTAATTTAATTTACAATTTAATAAAATTCAGTTGTTCAAATTAAATCATGGTTTAAATGACTGTTGATTAATACTAAATCATTGTGGCTGCATCAAGGACAGCAAGCAGCCAGCCCTGCTCCCCCCGGAGCTCCCAGGGGACAGAAATGACCCTGCAAGGGCAGCCCTGCTCCCCCTGCCCCATCACCTTGTCTCTTGTCCCCCCAGCACACGGAGTGAGGCTCTGCTGGTGCCAGTGGAGCAGGAACGGACGCTGGCAGCCCCAGGTGTGGGGGTGGGAGCTCAGTCCCTGTGCTGCCAGGTGGGGGCTGAGGGGGAGCAAGGAGCAGAAGCAAGGCCCAGCCCAGCCCTCCTGGGGCTCCAGGTGTGTAAGCTGCGTCCAGCCGCCCCCAGCACACTCCAGATGTGCCTTTTGAAGTGGTTTTGGGAGAGGCCTGGGACACTGAGGGCTGCTGATGGAATTGTGACTCCACGGGAGCCAGAGGCAAAGCTGGATGGAAGCAGCACCTCACCCCTCGGCTCTTATTAATCTATTAGAAATGATATTAATTATGCCACTAGCACAAAAAGCAATTATCAAAATATTTTGCTAAACATCTTAAAAAATGTTATTTACCAAAACCCACTCAACTGTATCAAAGCCCTGACAAAAAGCTCTCTCAGAAATTAATAAATATGTTTGATTAGCACTTTCATGGATGCACACATTCTGCATATGGGAGCATTATAGTGCATTTAATTATATATAAAGGCAATTAATGTCACAAATTAAGACTAAGCTCTGACTCGGGCTAAATAATTGTCATTATCTATCATACAACATGCCCAGAAAGCTTAACTCTGCAATGATTTTAATGAACAATAAACTTGGCATTTACATACCAAAACAATTTGGTGTAATTCAGTCTCAATAATAAACGGCGACAAAAAAAAATCACTCCCATTCTTGGGGAATTTTCTCCTTTCATGATCACAGGGGCTTTTTCAGAGCACGTTCATCACCATGGGAAGGGAACATTTCCTGTCTGCAGCTGGGTCCTACAGCACAGCCCGAGGGCAAGGGGGTGCTCCAGCCCACAGGAGTCATCCCTGGGGCTGATCTCCATGGAGGTGTCCCCAACACCCCAGGAGTCATCCCTGCCACCTGGGGCTGATCTCCTCCGTGGAGGTGTCCCCAACACCCCAGGAGTCATCCCTGCCACCAAACCAGTACAGAAACTGCAGGGACAAACCAGTTCAGAAACTGCAGGGACAAACCAGTATAGAAATTCTGCAGGGACAAACCAGTATAGAAATTCTGCAGGGACCAAACCAGTTCAGAAACTGCAGGGACAAACCAGTATCATGACACCAGCATGTACTCACTGGGGAATGAGATGAGATGTTATGGAAACAATGGTAACACTGCACTGATGCTAAGTGCAGCCAATTGTAAAATAAAAGACTCTAAATGGAGTTAAAGGCTCATGGTTCTGTGTTTGAAAAGGAGCTGTGTGGGTGTAATAGTGTGGTGCAGTTTGTGAAATAAAAATAAGTTGATCCACAGTGCAGAGTGCAACATCTTCACCTTGTGTCAGCTCTTAAACCAGAGCCTTGCTGGGCTCAGGGACTTGCTTCAGAGTCTAATGCATAGAAATAGGGGTGGAGGTGATAAAAAACCAAAAATCCTAATGCATTTGTATTATTAAATATTAAAAAAATAATACAACCAGCATGATTATGATTATCACTTCTGTTTGTGTGTGTTGCAGCAGGATGCGCTGCCTGGAATGGGGTAAAACAACTCCAATAAGGCCCCACCACCCCCTCTCAGCAGCACCATTCCCTCTTTCCACCTCAGTCCCTCCTTCACCAATATAAAGTGAAAACCAAACCAACAAACCATTTTTTTTCCCATTCAGAATAAAAACAAACAAAAAAAAAAGAATCTCGGAGCAAGAAACATTTGTTTGATGGCGATGTACGTATTTAGCCCAGCGCTGGCTCTGTCCCTGTGTTTATGGGAAAAGGACAATGCTGCAGCACCTCTGCCTTCATTATTAGCTGGCTGGTAATTAGTTTGTTGCTAGGAAAGCCTTTACCTGGGTGCAGTTCCATCTGGAGTCAGCTGCAGTTGGTGCCGAGGTGCAGAAGGTGCCCCCAAGCCATGGCTGTGCAGAGCAGGCGGGCTGTGACACCCAGCTCCCTGCCGCAGCTGTCACAGCTCCTCCTGACGCTGATTAACTTCATCAGGATAATTGATCAAGTTGTCTGCAGAAAATGGGAGGCTAAATACCTTCCCCAGGCTCCGTCAGAGCAGCCGAGCCGCGGTTGCCATGCCGAAGGTGCTGTGCTGCAAAGGGAATGAGTTTCCTCTCACCTCTTGCCTCAACTTTTCCCTTCTCCTGCCCCAGCTCTCCCAGCCTGTGCCTGGCAGATTGACTCTGATTAATTGCTCAGGTAATTACCTTCTGGTGTGCTGTTGAACGTGGTGTCCTTCAAAGGCATCAGGAGTCTGAGCAGCTGACAGCAGCTTGGAGGTATCAAACACTGGCAGCAGGTTGGCACGGTGGGACTCCAGCTTGCCTTTCGGGGTGGTTACAGACTTCAAAAGTGCCTTGCAAGCACTTCACCCCCTGCGATCAGCTGCCAGCTCCCCCAGGACTCTCTCCAGACCCGCTCCTCGTGCGCAAGCCCCTCTGTGACGGGTTTTTGGATGTCTGACAATGTCATGAAATAAATGTTAAGTCACGAGGGGGAAGGGGGAGGGAGCAACTGAAAAAATATATTTATTGGAGTAAATAAAAAAAAGTTAACCAAAATCCTTTATTGATACATTCTTGGATAATATCACAGGATCGAGAGAATGGAGAGGGAGGGAGGAGGTTGCGGCAAAGATTGGTTTCACTAAATTGGCACATAAGCAGCAAGATTAACGAAATTACTTATTACAAACAGTAGAAAACATACATGCTTCTGTAAGTCCTTATCACACTGGTCAATCATGGTGGGGCATCAACAAAGAAAAACCTCAAGACATGTAAAAGCCATAATCTTTCCTCCAAATATCCTAAGAATCATTGAAATTATTGCAAAATAGTCATATACCTTAAAGAAAAGAACAAAGTAGAACACAAATACAAATATCAAACATAAATTATTAACATGTACCATAAAATACATTACTGGCATGCATTCCAAAGATCAAGACCTCTACTAAAACTCAGCAAAAATCCTTCCTGCTTCCTCTGCAGCCCATCGGAGGTGTGAAGGGGGGGGACAAACTTCGCCAGCACAGTTTTTGGTCTTTAAATTCTTTTTTTTGTTTGTTTGTTTAGTTAAAAAAAATAAGGTATATGGATTGCAGTGATACAAGAATAATAATACAAGTCATGTACACAGGTCTCAGATCCTCAGTTGCCGGTTGGTTTGAGAGGTGCCGAGAGCACAGGGCCTCAATGAAACTGTGCATCCAAAAAACAAACAGTGACCTCGGAACAACATGGATGGCAATATGCAAAAAATCCTCACAAACTGTACAGAGAGTTCAAAAACTTGCAGTCTGGAAGTACATAGAAAGACAGAATTAGCCCCTTAGAGTCCAGAGCAGCCGAGCGCAGCCGGCCCAGGGAGCCAGGGCGGCCCCAAGGCCACGGTGGTCCCAAGGCTGGAGAGGCTCCAAGGCCACAGCAGCCCCAAGGCCATGGTGGCTCCAAGGCTGGAGAGGCCCCAAGGCCATGGTGGTCCCAAGGCTGGAGAGGCCCCAAGGCCGGAGAGGCTCCAAGGCCGGAGAGGCTCCAAGGCCACGGCAGCTCCAAGGCCACGGCAGCCCCAAGGCCATGGTGGTCCCAAGGCTGGAGAGGCTCCAAGGCCGTGGCAGCCCCAAGGCCATGGTGGTCCCAAGGCTGGAAAGGCCCCAAGGCCACGGTGGCTCCAAGGCCACAGCAGCTCCAAGGCCACATTAGCCCTGAGCCCCGAGGCCAGGCCAGCGCCGTGCGGAGCCGGCAGCGATGGAGGAGATCCCGGGAGCGGCCTGGAGCCGCGGCTCCTCTCGCCTCCCTGTGCCCGGTGCCCCGGACCCCGTGCAGGGAGCTCAGCGAGGCGGGTGGGCTCGTGGCCCCCGCCACGGCAGCTGCGCCTAGATCACCAGGTTGTTGTAGCTCACGTACTTCTTTTTTGCAGCAGGGCCTGCAAGAGAAGCAGACAGGGGTCAGAGCCTGTGGATGAGCCCTCGGTGGGGCTGGCAGTGGTCCAGGGGCACCGGGAATGGGGATGTGCCCGGGATGGGGACACACCAGGAATGGGGACACACCAGGAATGGGGACTTGCCTGGGATGGGGATGTGCCTGGGATGGGGACACACCAGGGATGGGGACACACCAGGAATGGGGACATGCCCATGATGGCGATGTGCCCGGGATGGGGACACACCAGGAATAGGGACATGCCAGGAATGGGGACACACCAGGAATGGGGATACACCAGGAATGGGGACGTGCCTGGGATGGGGACGTGTCTAGGATGGGGACACACCAGGAATGGGGACACACCAGGAATAGGGACATGCCAGGAATGGGGATGTGCCCAGGATGGGGACACACCAGGAAAAGGGACACACCAGGAAAGGGGACACACCAGGAATGCGGACATGCCCATGATGGCAATGTGCCCGGGATGGGGACGTGCCCGGGATGGGGACACACCAGGAATGGGGATGTGCCTGGGATGGGGACGTGTCTAGGATGGGGACACACCAGGAATGGGAATATGCCCAGAAATGGGGAGGTGCCAGGAATGGGGACACACCAGGAATGGGGACGTGCCCGGGATGGGGACACACCAGGAGTGGGGACAGCTGGTGGCTCCCGAGCCCCGCTCCCACCCGCAGGACTCCGGGCAGGCGGCTCCCAGGCCAGCCCGAGCTCCAGCTCCAGCTCTGGCTATAAACAGAATTAGCATGGAGTGATTTTGCCAGGCTCCCGCAGTCTGGGTGACTGTGCTGCTGAGGCACCACAACCAGATCCTATTAAGATTTCTTTTTAACAAAAACAGTGACATTTCCTCCAACTTCTTAAATCTCCTGGGCTAAACTTGGCTTTACTCATGGATAAAGTGATTCTTATTCAAGTTTTATGACTTCTGAGAATTTTTCAATATGGGGATGAAGGTACCAGCTTTCCTAATTATGACCTTCAAATCCAATCTGTTTGCAAACAGAAGGAAATCAAACCAGTCAGAACGTTATGAGCGCTGCTACACGCTCCCATCAGGAAAAACTGCGAATATTTGCAGCTGAACACAAAGCAAAATGTTCTGCAGTACTCTGGCAACACTGACAGATCCAGGACGCGGAATTGTGGAATATCCTGAGCTGGAAGGGACCCCCCAGGATCACCCAGCCCAGCCCCTGCCCTGCACACCCCCCAAATCCCACCCTGGGCAGCCCTGGAGTGCTGCCCAAAGGCTCCTGGAGCTCTGGGGCCGTGCCCATTCCCTGGGCAGTGCCAGCACCCTCTGGGGATGAACCTTTCCCTGAGATCCAACCTACACTCCACAGAGACCAAAAAAAGGAGCCTGGATTTCCCAGTTTGCTAAACCACAGTCTTTGGAAGAATTTGGCATAACTTAAGCAGTTTGCTGAATATTTCCATCCTGCTAAGCTGGGGCAGACTCCACTCACACTTTGGATGATGTTTTTAATGTGGTGTGTTTCATTCTAAAACTTTCTCAGGAATATTTAACAGACACTGTGGAAGGAGAGGTGTTGTGAGAACAACAATTGGATTTGTTCTGCAAATGTGCTCTTCAAACTTCATTGGGTTTGGGCCTCCTGGGGCCCCTCTCAGCCCCCCGGCAAAACCAGACCCCGACAGGACATGGCTCCCACAGGGCTCTGTGTGTCTCCCCAGCACCCCCTGCATCTCTGCCAGCCCCTGAGCACCCCCTGCATCTCTGCCAGCCCCTGAGCACCCCCTGCATCTCTGCCATCCCCAGCATCTCTGCCATCCCCTGAGCACTCCCTGCATCTCTGCCATCCCCTGAACACCCCCTGCATCTCTGCCATCCCCAGCATCTCTGCCAGCCCCTGAACACCCCCTGCATCTCTGCCAGCCCCCCAAGCTCCCCCGAGCCCTCAGAGAGCAGCAGAGCTCCCTCTGCTCCCCAGCCAGGCCGTGGTGTCCCCCTGGGGTGTCCCCCAGGCAGCAGTGTCCCCAGGCAGCCATCACTGCTGGCTTTTCAGAAGCACTGCTCTGCCGTGCCCAGCAATCCAGGCTGTTTGGAGTGCAGTGCACAGGGTGCAGCCCAGTATCAGTATTTCCCATGGTGTTCACTGACAAAAGACACAGACAGGATTTTAGTCCCAGGTGTTTCCAAGATGGACATGTGGGAACCTCACGTGGAGCTGCAGCCCTTTGCAAAACTCTCCTGAAACCCTCACTGAGCTCTTTCCTCGTGCCCCAGCCAGGAGTCAGTGCTGTCTGCTCAATCAAGGACTGATCCCACAAAGGGCTGATCATCTTCAGCTCCCATTAACTTCTCTAGCACACAAGGTGTCCAACATCTGCCAGGATAAAACTCATTATCCTTCAAGGCTACACCACAAATATCCAATAAACTGGGGAACGCTATTAAACGCTGAAGAAGGGTAAAATGAGCCTGGGAAAAAAAAAAATGTCTCATGGAACAGGTTGCAAAGTAATTCCATGTATTATTTTGTGATGTACTTCAGCTTTACCCATTACATGCTCCAATTTCAAGGAGCAGCAGCATTTCTATGACAGATTTAGATGCTCCCACTGTGAGTTCAGATCATGGCACCCCTCCAGTGCCTCCGGGTATTACTGGGGCTCCCAGCAAAAGCAGTCATTCTGCTGATGAGTTTTCTCAGCAGTTCAGCCCCAGTGTTCCTTTCTCACTTCCAACAGGACAAGAAACCACCAAAGGTGCCAAAGGGATGGAGCCAAGGAACGCTGTGGATCCCTGGATGGGCTCTGAGACAGTGACACAATCCTTGGCACGGCCCTGCCTCACCAGGATAATGGAGCTGACAAAAGCATCATCCATAATTCAGATAAAATGATCAATAAGAGCCGTGGGGTTATTTTCAGAGAGGAAAGACAATCTTCCTTGTTCAAAGGCTGCTAGGCCAGGGGGATCATGTCCCTGACGGCTCTGCTGCATTTCCCCACTGTGCTCCTGCACTAACCCCAGCAATCTGCAGCTCTGTGCAACTTCCAGACGCATTCCAGGCCTGGACAGCTCGGGGGAGACACGGTCTGCCTCGATAATGAACCTCTCCCGAGTCACAGCTCATCATTATCACTGGCAATTAGCACCAGGTACGGATTTGATTTTCCTCAAAGAAATTAATTTCCATGAAAATGGGGGAGGCTAATGAAGCATCAGCGCTGCCATGCTCTAATGCAGCAGACAGCATTCCCCCTCCTTACACGGCACCGATACACATCTCACACGCTCCGCTGCTGTTCTGCTAAAGGCTCCGGCAGCGAGCACAGATTGGCCTCTCGCAAACAGCGTACACATGTTAATTAACGCACACGCAATTATGTCAGCCTCGGCTGGCCACTGGGCTGGATGGGCTGGCAGCGAGCCGGGAGCCATCTGCGCTGCTGGGACATGCCCTGAATGCCCAGGGCATCGCGGGGCTCGCCCTTGGGTTCAGGTCCCCGGGGCGGTGCAGGAAGGAAATATCCCGGCTCCTGCCTGCCTGCTCATTTATTGATTTGCCTGCTGCAAATGAAGCTGCTCCCGAGGCATCTGCGCCGTGGAACTTCCTTGGGAATAAAGGAGAGCTTTCAAAAGAGCCTTTAGCACCTTAAGAAGCGGTTTCCTGTCAAGTTAGAGACCAGCGCCTTTTTCTGCTAATTTCCCGCTAATTAGTGGTGAAGAGTGACAATGCCAATAGAAGAAACGAGGAGGAGGGACAGCAGCGGGACACGGGCGGGCACGGCCAGGACCTGGGCACAGGTCCCTGTCCAGGCACAGGGGACCCCACAGAGCCACAGGGGCTGGAAAAGCCTCCGAGATCAGCGAGTCTGACCTTCAGTGACACCAGCACAGCCACCACGGCTGGCACACAGGGACAGCCACCACAGCTGGCACTGAGGGACACAGCCACCACAGCTGGCACTGAGGGACAGAGCCACCACGGCTGGCACTGAGGGACAGCCACCACAGCTGGCACACAGGGACAGCCACCACAGCTGACACCAGCACAGCCACCACAGCTGGCACTGAGGGACAGAGCCACCACAGCTGGCACTGAGGGACAGCCACCACAGCTGGCACACAGGGACAGCCACCACAGCTGACACCAGCACAGCCACCACAGCTGGCACTGAGGGACAGTCACCACAGCTGGCACACAGGGAGAGCCACCACCCCTGGCACTCAGGGCACCTGGGCTCGTTTTTGGAACCCCCCAGGGACGGGCACTCCACCTCCTGGGAGCCTGGCCACTCTTCCAGTGCAGTTTTCCTGATTCCCCAGCTGAATCTCCCCTGGCACAGCCTGAGGAGGGGCAGTGCCCAGGTGCCCCTTGCTGTGCCACGGCTGCCTGGCAGAGGTGCCCTTGCAGTCACCAGCCTAACGGGGACAGCCCTGCAGCTGCACTGACACCAAACAGCAACAATGCTCCTCAGAGCCCAGGAATTCATTCCTGTCCACACTGAGAGCCTGCACCCACGCCCTTGCAGAGTGAGGACCAGGATGGGGAGCAGCTGCTTCTCCGTGCCAGTAACACATCAAAAACAAATACACAGAAGCAAAAACTCCTCTTTGGACTTATGAGTTTCATCACTTGACTGGTTTTCATTACCTTAGGCACAGGTCACAAAGGAAGGAGCTCCCACAGCACCCCAGAGCAAGGCAGAGCTGTCAATACTGACTCACAGCGAGATGTAATCGCTTGCACTTCAATTTTATGCACATTTGTAACCTCTTCCATGCTTAAAGAGCAAAGATTTACAGTGCAAGAAATGAATTTTATTGCAGCCCCCAGGCATCTCAAGCTATCAAACACATGAAACATCATCTCAGCATTCCCAGCTCCGAGCAGGGACAGACATGGGGATGGCTCCGAGCCTGGAACTCCTGCTCTGATTCCCTCTGCAGTCACTGGGGCAGATAATTCTCAGCTCCTCTCTTTCATTTCCTTAATTCTGGCT